AATTCTCCTCATTTGATAAATGAGAGCATTTTATTAGTTGACCCTTAAGTTCCTTTCCCACTATAAATCATAGACCTATGGTCCTATGATGCTGTGTCAGGCCTTCAGGATCAAATCTAACTCATCCCTAGGTATTGGGTCCTAGGTATAGGACCCAAACATCCTCTCATGGCCAATGAGCAATGACCCAATTCCCTCATAGCCCCCTAGATCTCTTTATATTCCTTCTCTGAAATAGGACCTTAGGGCTCCCTTCCCACCATCTGAGATCTTGCCTAAGTTTTTTGTGGTCAATGAACTAGGTTCAGAATGTGATGCTCTACACAGCTTAGAATCTACATTTGAAACAAAATGAGGTTTTTTTTAATAGAAAAATTATAGCCTATAATGGTTAAGCTCTTTAGTACAAAGTATGTACTTTATTAAGCTATGTCATTATTTTGAAAATCCTTTATAAATTGACCTGAGAACTTCAGCCTTACATATAGTACATTCTTGTGGTTAAATGAGGAAGACTTCTGACAAACTCTTCTTCATAATCTCAAAACAGTAACAAATATACCAAATAAGGCAAAAGAATAAGTTATTATTCAGTTATTTCAGACTATTTGTGATCCCACTGGGGTTTTCTTGGCAAAGATGCTGGAGTTTTGCCATTTCTTTCTCCAGCTCATTTGACAGATGAAGAAACCAAGGCAAACCGGGTTAAGTGACTTGCCCAGGGTCACTGTGCTAGTAAGTGTCTGAGTCCAGATTCGAGCTCATGAGGCCCAGCATTCTACCCACTATGTCACCTAAATGCCCATAACAATAAGAAGATATAATAAAGAAATCCTAGCAAGTAAGACTTTATAGAAAAAAAAAAACTTATAGAGATCTCAGTGCATTGACAACATATGGCCAATAGCTACCATTTATATAGTGCTTTAAAGTGTGCAAAGCATTGTACATATATTATCTCATTTGATCCTTAAAATAGCCCTGAGAGGTAGGTGCTATTATCCCCATTTTGCAGATGAAGAAACTGAGAGGTGAAGTGAATTCTCTAGGGTCACACAACTAACAAGTGCCTGTGGCAAGATTTGAACCCAGATCTTCCTGATTCCAAAGCCAATACTCTACCCACTGTGTAACCCACCTATCTATTATACAATGCCATATTGTAAATAAAAGAAAGAGAATAGAAATTTCTAGAAAGAAATAATGCTTCTAGTACTACAATTAGATCTCTAAAAGACAGAATGGAACAACCACAAAAACCTCCAGAGTGACTTAGAAGCTCAATAAAAGAATTGAAGGAAGATCTCATACATATGAGGGTGGAAATGAAATCTTTCAAAGAAGTATGCAAAAGACAAATATTAAATTGATAGCTTAGAACAGATAGTGGAAAATCTTAACTCTTTCGGCTCTGAGAAAGAGAATAACAGAAAGGCAACAAAAATGCTAAATTTAAAAAACAAATATGGGATATTTAGAAACAAAAGGCAGAAAAATTGGAATAATTAAGTCTCTACAAACCAAAACAAATGACCCTAAAGATAGCATCTAGTTAAACAAAGAAACAAAAAGAATTATTGGCATACCAGAAAAACATGATGAATAAAAAAAAAATCTGAATACCACACTTACATAAATAAATAAATAAAATTCCAAAAGTATTGGAAAGAGGAGAAGACGAATATAAATTGATTGAATCTATATGACACTATATGGGGAAGAACAGCAAGTTGAGCTCATACAGAAATTTAATCTACACAGTCTAGAACTTCATTATTAAAGTCATAAGTAGAAAAAGAAATTAATTTACATACCAAAATACACTCATTCAAATCACACAGCATGACCTCTTGACAAAGATAAATGAAAGAAAATGCTGGCATATAATATATTGAAAAGAAAAGAAAATCATCTTGCCCCCCCAAAGTAGTATATCTACAAAGCACATGATACTGCTTCAGAAGTAAAGTTAGAACTTTAACAGAATCAGAGACTAATTTCTCCTGAAAATAAAGATTTTTTAAAAAAAAGAACTAGGCAAAGCAGTTGACATGCAAAATATCCAAAAAACAGGAAATTAACCAGGTAGTCAAGCCCACATAGAAATAAATAAGCAATTATGAAATTTGAGATACCAATCTCACAGATGGGGAATAGTCAGAAGCACCCAACTGGAGGAAGAAAATGGAACAAGTGAGTGGAGAGGGGTAGTGATTTTTGTTTCTTCACATAAGTAGCAGAAGGTGAAGAAAGTTATTCAAAAAAAGAAGTAAAGTGTTTGAAGTCGGGGGAATAGGGAGATTTTTAATCGCTTTCTTACTGAAACTTGATAAAGAGAGTGTAAAAGATTTATATCCACTAATGTATAATTCAAGGTGAGAAGAGGACAAGGAGGAGAGGCAAGAGGAGGGGGAAGAGAAGAAAGAAGAAGGGAGGGAGAGGGGAGGTGGGGGGGAGAGAAAAAGGGAGGATTTTTTCCAAAGTTACCAGATCTCCAAAGATTACCAATCTTTTAATTATAAAATCTAATAAACTTTTTTCACTCCACATCCTTCTTGACCTTGTTGTGGGCTTTGACACTGTCAATTGCCTTTGTCCGCTCGGTACTCTTTTCTTTTTAGGATTCTGTGATGCCACTTTATCCTCACTCTCCTACCACCTGTCTCACTGTCCCTTCTTAGCCTCCTTTGCTAGGTTATCATCTAGGTCACACCTGCTAAAGATGAGTGTCCCTCCAGGACTCTGTCCTAGGCCCTCTTCTCCTATATTATTTCATTTGATTATCTCATGAGTCCCCTTGGTTTCTATTATCATCTCTATTTTGGTGATTCTCAGTTCTATTTATCTAGCCCTAAACCCCCCAGACTTTGATCTCCAACTACCCATTTGACATCTCAAAATGGATGTTCAAAAAATATCTTAACTCAGTGTATCCAAACATGTCCAAAATTGAATTCATTATCTTTCCCAAAAAACTTCCCTTCTTCTGAATTTCCCCATTACTGTCAAGGGCAACTTCTCTTTTCAGTCAGACTCCCAACCTAGGTGTCATCCTCTCCTCCTTTTATTTGTACATGGTTGTTTCCATCCCGCCTCCCCCATGAGACTTGAGAGCAGGGACTTCTGCCTTTTGTTGTATGACCAGCATTTAGCACAGTGCATTTCACATAGCAGGGTAATGGAGGGGAGAGGAGTAAATGGAAGGGAAAAAAGTAGAGGAGGGGGAATGAGGGATGGAGTGGAAGGAAGAGGAGGGAAGGCAAGGGAGGGGAGAAGGGAGAGAGTGAGTAGAGAGAGGAATGAAGAGGAGGGAGAGGAGGAGGAAAGGGAAAGGAGAAAGGAGTAGAGAAAAGAGAGAGGGAGAGCAAGGGGAAGGGAGGGAGAGAATCAGGAGAAGGAGGAGGAGGAAGAAGCAGAGAAGGAGAAGGAAAAACAGAGAAAGGAGGAGATAGAAGGGGAAGAGGAGAGGAAAAGAAGAGAAAAGAAAGCAATTTCAACTTCTGAACAAATAATTTACAAACTTTTTTTCAATGACAAGGCCCATTCAAAAGTTGAAAACTGCTTCCTACACATAGTGAAGTAATCACTTTTTTCCAAATGAAGCATTAGTCAATAAGGATAATGACCAGCATTTGTAGAGCCTTTTAAAATATGAAGAACCCTTTACACAGATTATCTCATTTTAGCCTCACAACAACCAGGTGACATACGTACTACAGGTATTTTATCCACAATTTTTCAGTGAGTAAAACAAGATCTAGAGGTATTAGATAATTTACTGTGTCCATACAGCTAGCAAGTGTCAGAAGATGCATTTGAATCCAGTTCTTCTGGTGCCAAGTCTAACTCCACACTATACTGCTTTAGTATTGATTTCCTCCTCTGTCCCTTCTGTAATTATATATAACCTCAATATTTGCAGTAGCTCAAAAGAAATGTGAGATGCCCAAATTTAGAGACAGCTCACCCCAAATGTTTATATGGACTATTTGTGCTTGACCTGTTTTAAAGCCTTCTGAGCTCTTTTGGTCTGATCAGCCACAGTAGGACACACTGTACCTTGACCCCAACATAATGAAGTCATTTTGGTCCTCTTCAAGTACAAAGGACAACCACCATCATCTCCATAAAGTGAAAAAGATGCAATCCAATCTTACCATATTACCAGACATTTGTCCAGAGAGTCTTGTCATTTTCACGAATAACTATTAAGTTGGAAAATGAAAAATCACACTTAATGTCAGCAATTAGTGGTTAAACTAAAAAGAAACTCAGTAGAAATCAGTTTGGGACTTTTTTCTCACACCACACAACAGATGAAGCAATCCAAAAGATAAGTGTGAGAAGTATCAAGAGAATGCATTTAGATGTTAAGTTACAATGTGTCTTTTGTTGAACAGAAGAGGATGTTACACAGTAGTATTATTAATTCACAAAGCTCTATTTTATGTAGGACTGCCAATTCACTTTAGGGGATACAATTCTCACCCAAGCTAGGGGATGTAAAATACTTTCTGGGATGAAAGAGCTCAACTGACAATCATCAGTCATTTTCAGGGCATCACATGGTACACAAACTGGGTTGATCTATCTCCAAATATGCAGAGCTTTACATTCAGAATTTTTTTTAATCACCCTTGCTTCCTAAAGCATAAAGTTTCTACATTACCTGTTCAATTAGGCAGAAAGATTCACTGAATTTCTTACAAGACGCATCAGCAGCTCAGATACAGTCTCCAGAATCCTGTATTTACCCTATCATTCTTTCCAACTCAATTATAAGCTCATGACCAATATAAAAGTAACTGTGAAACCCTTCTATTTTTCTTTTGTACGAAGAAGACACTTAAAAAGAAGACCTGGTTCTAGGGTTACTACAGAAGTACTAGGAAAGGACAAATAAGCCAGGTGATAGGAGAATAGCTTTCAAGAATATAAGCAGTCACCGCCCTGCTCATGAGATACTGTCAGGCCACGGCTATGTCTTTTTATTCACTTACATTTTAGTAGCCACAGCTCTGAATCGTCTGCTTCCATTCCTGCCTGTAATGGTCACTTGAAATCTCAAAAGATATCAAAAACTGCCACTTACCAGTAACTAAAGGACACCTCTGTCCGGCACTCCAGGTTACACACGGGCAGCAGCTTAATTAGAGCCAATGAGGTTGTTTACAATTGCAGAAGCAAGTCCTGGCTCCTTGTGAGCTCCAGTGGCTTGAACTTTCCAGCATGACTTGCCCTAGGGCTTTCGCTAATAGGCTATATTTGTAAGCTGATAACATGATCTGTGGTCTTAGAGAAGGAACATGTGCATAAAAAAAAATCCACCCTCTATGACTCAACTTGGCATGAGACACAAGACTTTAATAGGAGAGTGTTATCACAGAGGAAATAATAAAGCCAACAGGCTGGGGACATGAAACCAGAGGTTCTGTGGATTTCTCACACAGATGTGCAACTTTTTTTCTAAAAAGAGAATGTATTTGAATTCCGAAGTCTGCTAAATACATGGAGGGGACAGGAAGGGATGAGGGGAGAGAAGAAATTTGCTCAAGGTCCATGCTTTTAGCTGTTTAGCTGTTTACGGGAAACCAAGTAAATAAAATACGGAAATAAAAAGCCAAGCGACCAAGAGATAAAAGGGGCATCCTCTTCAAAGCTCTAGAAAATAGATGTTGATGGTCTATTTATTGCAACATTATTGCTACTTCATGCATTTTATATGAGCTCAGGTTCTCTACAGATATGTTTAATCTTGGGCAATAGTACTTTGCTGCTATTTTCCATTGTAGTGTATGAACTGTATTAAGCTGGTATACTTATCTCCTAAGTCACCTGGTTGGTAACAAAATAGAAATCTCTAAAAAGAAAAAAAAACAGAATGGGGAAAAAACTTTGTTCTATATGGTCATGTATTTTTTCATATATATGCATATTGGAAAACAGAATTTACAAGGTAATACAAGAAACCTACAAAAGCAGTGCCCAGTCTCCAATGGACAAAAAGACAAAAGAGAACACAAAGATGTTAGGATCAGAGATTTTGAGCTGCAAGGGACCTCAGACTCCAACTCCCTCCTTTTCCAGATGAAGAAATTGAGGCCCAAGGAGATTAAATGACTTTCCAAAGGCAACAAAGAGACATAAATGACAGAGCTGAGATTCAAACCCAAGTCTTCTGACTCCAAATCGATTTGTAAACTTCTGTTTTACCACACTTCTCCCTTTGGAACTAAAAATTACACATTAGAATAACTATAAGATATAATTTCATACTGACTAAATTAACAGAAAATGAATACAAATGTCAACTCAAAAAAAGCAAATAAGGAGACAAAGGGATATAGAAAAGGGGCAGCCACATGACACAGTGGGTAGAGTGCCAGTCCTGAAGTCAGGAAGACCTGAATTAAAATCTAGTCTCAGATTCTACTAGCTGTGTGACCCTGGGCAAGTCACTTAAGCCTGTTTGCCTCAGTTAGTTCCTCATCTGTAAAATGACCTGGAGAAGGAAATGGCAAACCACTCTAGTATCTTTGCCAAGAAAGCCCCAAATAGGGTCAAGAAGAGTCTGAAATGACAGAACAACAACAAGGATATACAGAATTTATCAACCAAATTAGATTTTGAAAAGACTAATCAAATATGGAAGCATGAGCAAGTAGCTGAGGAAGAAAACAAGCATTTATTAAGCACCTACTCAGGTGTAGCTAGGTGGCTTAATGGATTGAGCATGGAGCCTGGAGTCAGGAATACCTGAGTTCAAATCTGGCTTCAGACATACTAGCTGTGTGACCCTGGGCAGGTCACTTAACCTCTGCTTGGCAGCTAAGTGGTACAGTGGATAGAGTGTCAGGCCGGGAGTCTGAAATACATGAGTTCAATTCCAGCCTCAGACACCTACTAGCTGTTAGGATCCTATGGGATCCTAAGCAAGTTGCTTAATTCTGTTTGCCTCAGCTTCTTCATCTGTAAAATGAGCTGGAGAAGGAAATGACAAACCATTCTAGTATCTTGGCCAAGAAAACCCCAAACGGGGTCGCAAAGAGTCAGATATGACTGAAAGGACTGAACAACAATAAGTCAAAATGTGCCAGGCTTTGTGCTAAGCACTTGACAAATTCATCTCCTTTGATCCTCACAAGCCTGGGAGGCAAGGGTTATTATTACTTTCCCCATTTTACAGATGAGAAAACTGAGGCAGAGAAATTAAGTGACTTGCCCAGAGTAACACAGCTGACCAGTCTAAAGTCGAATGTGAATTCAGGTATTACAGATTCCACACTCAGTGCTATCTCCACTCCACCCAGCTGCCTCAGCCGGCTGAAGGCAACAGAGTAGGAAAGCCCTCTAAGAACAGTATCCAGAATGCTAAGGTTTAAAAGGAGCTGAGGTTAACAATAAATGCCTAGCATAACAAAAGTAACCACTTTCAAAGTTATGTTTGGGCAAGAGGAATGTGAGGGAAGAGATAAGAATGCTCCAGAGGGGGGATGGGATGATGACAACATATAATGGAGAGAAGGCAAAACTACTCCAAGATGAATTTCTCTTCTGTTCCCTCTACCAAGAAGAGTGAAGAAGAAGAATGACATCTAATATTTATATAGTGCTTTAAGATTTGCAAGAGCTTTACAAATATTATCTCATTCTGTCCTCAAAACCCACTGAGAAGTGGGTAATAATAATTATAAATAACTCCCATTTATATAGCTCTTTGTTTCCCAAGGTGCTTTACAAGGTCAATGTTATTTTATCTTCACAATAACCTTGAGATACAGGTGATCTTATTGCTCCCATTTTGAAGATGAGGAAACTGAGTCACAGAAAGATTAAGTGACATCCCCAAGTCACACAGCTAGAGAACACAGTAAATTTGATTCCAAGACTCTGGATTGTATCTTGTTTTTGCCATTTCTTATATTGTGACCTTGAACAAATCAGTAAACCTTCCAAGGTCTCCATTTTCTTGCCACTGGAACTACAAGGTTAGACTAAATGATCCTTATAGGCTTTTCTAGCTCTTATTCAGAGATTTATGAAAATTATAAAATTCAAAATAACAATAACTAACACATATAGCATGTACTATGTGCCAGGTACTGTGCTGAGTGCTTTGTAATTACTATCTCATTTGCTCCTCACAACCACCTGGGAGGTAGGCGTTATTATTATCCCCATTTTACAGATGAGGAAACTGAGGTTGACTAACTTCCCCAGGGGCACACAGCTAGTAGGCTGTCTGAGGCTGGATTTGAACTCAACTCTTCCTGACTCCAGGCCTGGCACTCTACTGTGCAACCTAAGTGACTAATAGATCCAGGTTGTGTGGGGAAATAGGTACTGATATACTTCTAATGGCAATGGAAAATGGTACACAAACTTTTGAAGAACGTGGAAATTCACAACAGCCATGAAAGTGGTGATGTACTTTAATCTGATCATTTTACCATGGGACTATGTCCCAAAATTGCAAGTCACTTAATTTCCTTGAGCCTCAGTTTCCTTATCTCTTAAAAGGGGATAATAATACCCTCTCTGGGACCTATGTTACAGAGCTAGTGTAAAGATTAAATAAGAATGTAGATAAAGTGCTTCACAACTTTGAAGTGCTACACAGAGTGGTCCAAAAAGTCTTAGTTCAGTTTTAATTGAATAAAGCTTAAACTTGCACTAAGATTTTTGAAAAATGATGTGTATCAGTTAGTATTCTCTCTCTTTTTTTTTTTTTGCTTTTTGGTGAGGCAGTTGGGGTTAAGTGACTTGCCCAGGGTCACACAACTAGTGTCAAGTGTCTGAGGCCGGATTTGAACTCAGGTCCTCTTGACTCCAAGGCCAGAGCTCTATCCAATGCACCACCTAGCTGCCCCTATCAGTTAGTATTTAAAGTTTATATATATATATACATATATGTATGCATTCATACATAATGCATGAATGAATATCTATATGTTATATTTATATATACCCATGCATAAATATGTATACAAAGACATGCTAGAATATGTATATGTACATCTCTTGGCATATAATTAGATATAATGCATACTAGATGAGGTGTTTTAACAACATCTTAATAATATTGTTATTTATATATCACTTTGGAGTTTGCAAAATACATAAATTTATGAGACAGATAGGTGGTACAATAGATAGGGTGCTAGACTTTGATCAGTAAATCCTAAATTCAAATCTGGCCTCTGACACTAGTCGCATGACCATGACCAAGTCATCACCTCTCTCTGCCTCAGTTCCTCATTTGTAAAATAGAGACAACAATAATACCTGCCTCCCACGGTTATGGTTAGAATAAAATGAGATAATATTTGTAAAGCTTTTTGCAAACCTTAGATTTCTATTCAATCTATCATCATCATCATCATTATTATCTTTACCTTATTTGATCCTTACAACAACTTTATGAAGTATTACATAAGGTATTCTTACTCCCTCCTTTTCTAAATAAGGAAACCAAGGAATAGAGAGGTTAAATGATTTGCCCATGATCACAACAGAAAGTTAGTGGTTAAGGGGAATTTGAACCCACTTTTTCCTAATTACAAACCCAGCACACTGTATCTTGCACTACTTTGTATTCAGGGCCTTAGCTGAATCTGATTTTGGTCCCTACCACAGGTACAGTTATGTCTGTAGAATGATTTTACCTCCTTAGAGAGAACTAAATAAATATTGTTCTTAACTCATCTGACAGCTTCCTATCATAATCTTGGGATATGAAGCAGTTCTCTGAGGTTTACCTTCAAAATTGGCCAATTCTGTGAGTGAAGTTATACATATGAGAACTGGCTGATTTAAGGGGTCAAGACTTGCTTATAAAAGTCTTTAGCTCCCTACAATCAAGAACATTTTGCATGAGTTATGATGTTATTCTTTGTAGAACTTTGGCTTCTAATCTATTGGATGTTGTGCAGGGTTTGACTAAAGACCAAGCTGGACTTGACCCAGATATCATATTGCATTCCAGATGATACTGAAGGTTAGGTAATAAAACTTATTCCTTTTTCTAAAGTGCAAGGATTTGGATTGAATGTGCAAGACTTCTAATGGGTAGGC